CTCATACTCCTGGATGGTGGCTGCCAGCAACTATATTCCAAGTGAGTAATTTCCCCCAGCTCCATGTATAGGTGGTCAGTAATCTCATTGGCTTTTAAAGCTGCCTCTTGCTTAGTGACAAAGAAACAGCTCCTGGACCCTTGAACACATGTTTGATTTTGGAAGCTAAGCATGATCAGACCTGGTTAATACCTCGCTAGGAGACCACCAGGAGATGTCCAGTGCTGGACACCACGGTTCAGGAAGGATATTGACTAGCTGGGATATGTCCAGTGAAGGGCAGCAAAGATGATCAAAGATCTGAAAATCAAACCTTATGAGGAACACCTGAAGCAGCTGGGTATGTTTAGCTTTCAGAAGAGAAGACTGAGAGATGATATGATAGCTATCTTTAAACATCTGAAGGGATGTCACGGAGAAGATGGAGCCAGCTTGTTTTCAGCTGCTCCAGTGACTAAGACATGAAGAGGTTCCACTTAAACATTAAGAAGAACTTCTTGACTGTAAGAGCGATTTGAAAGTGGAATGGGCAGTGGACTCACCTTCATTGGAGGTCCTTAAAAAGAGGTTTGATGGGCATCTCTGGGGAGTGCTTTAATTCCTGCATGGCAGGGGTTTGAACTGTATGGCCCATGTAGTCCCTTCCAGTGCTAAAATTCTCTGTTTGTATGGAAGGAAATGTTGACAAAGCAATGACTGATGTTTCAAAAGATGTTTTTTCCCCCTCCTGGCTGTGTGAAGATGGGGAAAGATTAATCTCTAGCCCACTGAATAACGGAAGGATGATATGAACACAAGGTCAATTCATTAAAAGCCCATCATTTGCTCTTAAGGAGGACATGCTGCCTGGCTATTGGAGTTCCTGCTTGTCATCCATCACTTGGAGAGGTAAAAGAGGCATGCCAGCAACCATCATGAGTGTCATTGGGGTCTCAAGGCAGGTGCAGAAGGAAGGCCTTGGCCATAACATGCAGTGAAGTCAGACTTTATGGACTGTGAAAGAGCTTCCATCTTTATCTAGGGTTCATCAACTGTAA